TCCGCGCAGTGTTCCGCCACCAGAGACAGTGGGTCCATTCTCCTCACTGCCCGCATGTGTTCGTTAACGCGAGTTTGTAACCGTTTGCCTGTCTCTCCGACGTAGTCTGCTTGGCAAGAGTTACACTGGACCCGGTATATATATAGAAGAAGAAAAGGGGAAGGCGATCGCTAAAACCAATTATGTATTTATCCGGCGTTTCGAATTCTCACGCGAGAGCATCGTCAGGGATTGAAAAAATGTAACACTCATCGCATATTTAGCTCCCATATTCCGGTGATGACCCCTGTCTACGCTACTGACTTGTTCACGCAGTGCTTGATACGAAATTGGCAGATCGAAATGTCCTTTATTCGAGTCCTCGATTGATTGCCACGCCTCCCGTAACAGGCGAGCATCTCGGTTGTCCGACTGGCCCAATATTCTCACGCACTGAAAGTCGAAGCCGTGTTCTGACGTGGAGGCGTGGGCGACTACCAAGGAGAGTTTATCCTTCCGTCTCACAGCCAACTCGTGTTCGTGCAATCTCGTGCGTACATGTTTGCCGGTTTCACCAACATAATTAGCTTGACCACAACTGCAGTCTTTCCGATAAATGACCCCCGATTTCTGATTGATGGGAATCGGTCGTTTGTGTGAATGAGCTGCCGGCGTATTGTTGCTCTAGGTCTGTGAGCGACATCAATCGCAAATTCGCTCATCAGTCTGGCGAATTCTTCTGACACACACGGTCTAATATTTAGATAAGCCCACGGGTTTGACCAAAGTGATTGTACGTGGAAAGAAATGTCAAAGAGAGCACACTGCGCCGACTGAAAACTTCATAAACTGTCGGCGGTTGATGGTTATGATGCCTATGAAATTCGGAGGGCGGTCAGTCTGGCGGTCGACAACGGACGTCATCACTAGCGGCCTGTTTATTAATATTGTAAGGGATATCTTAGTTTAGATCGGCACTCACCAACGTTGAATGGATACCACAATTTTGCTTGATGATGCTTTTGTCCATCGACCGAAAGACGTATGAAAGTGATTCAGCAAGTAGCCATTACCTAATTTCTTGGCCAACAGCCAGCCTTTTCTTATGAACACTCCCATCTGTTCTTATTCCTACCAACAGCCTGAATCTTAATCCTATTTAAAATACTTGTTGCGATTATTAAAAGAAGGTAGTACACGGAAAAAAGTCTTTCAGTGCAGGAAAAGGTTGATTTTGTGCTGAATAATCACACTGAACAAACCGCTACAGAAAACCTGTCTACTTCTCTGTCTGACAGACTTCCTGCTCTTTTACATATAAACAGACCCGTTCCTCAGTTTTAACGACGGGCTTTTCGACCAGGAATTTGGAACATTTATTCGGCCGATATGAGAATATTGCGTTAAGGCGTGGCAACCCCGCATGAAACTAGATTACATTCTTTTGAAGAACGTACACGCAAGCCCGACTATGCACAATGTTAGTAATCAGCTCTCGAACAGCGACTGTTTCGTCTTCTATACTGCTTCAACATTAATGTAGCTAAGGTGAGCGTTAAAGCCGTATGTACGGAATCAGTTTCTTCACAGTTGAAAATTTTTTCTCGTGTAGACATTCGCCAGGAAACTAAGTCCTATACAATGTTTTCATTGTAACAGTTTGACTGGCAACAGATTTGCGCACAAAGTACCACCTAACAAAACAAATGTTCGAAAATTGTCAAGATTCGAAGTTATCTAGAGCTTGCGAGACCTACAAACAATTGGGTCATTTCTGAATATACTGCATATATTTGGTCAGTTGTTTAAGGAACTTAGAACGTATGAGAACGCCGATCGTCTACTAAGTTTAAAATACTCATTGTGCTTCGTCATGTACAGTCTGAAGTATTCATAGTTGCCAGAGAAAAAGCACTACGCCCTTAGTTGACGTTTGTGGAATTCCACTCATCTGACGGTAGTAGCATGACCAGAACCGCGGCATCGTTTGAAAGAAAGCCGAATCATATTAGCAACGTGGTCAGGACTTTCTTTCACTGTCTTTGCGGTTGCAGCCAGGGACGCAAATAACGCTATAAGCAAAATCAGAGCAAAAAGTGTGAGACATAAGGGTGAATCTCGGATGGGGTAAGTCGAGTTTCTACACAAATTCAAAGCATCCCAACCGAGCAAATGGATATGACGATGTTCATGTAGCAGGGCACTGAGAACCGGAAACAACCCAACCGTGTTATAGTCAAAAAACGCAAGGTAAATGTGAAAAAATTAAATACTATCATTTCAGTAACATCTAACTACCCAGTGACTGCAGGGACTGGTAACAGTGACATTATAATAACTGAACCGAAGCCTTTTGATAAAGGCAGACCGGATTTCTACACAAAACTACCTAAATGACGGCACAAATAATAAGCTGTCGGAGTTAATAACGTCAAAGATGCTATTTCACCCGCATATCCGAATGTAAATGACGATATATCTCTTGTACCAAGGAGTAAGATAGTTAGGTCACCTGGTCACCTTTCTTGTCAAGTACAGCCAGCTGTCCTGAGTTTTCTTCATAGCACTTAGTCGAACTCAAAGTCAGGAACTACTAGATAGGGGAATGGGAAAGCTTCACTACAGGAGTCTGAGCCTAAAATTGACTGTGCGCAGGAGTCTTCATTATCTGAAGATGAATAGACAAAATCTTTCCTCGAAACGTCAGATTATGTTGCCGAAGGCCTTTTACTCTTTTAACACATAACTACCCTATACAGATGAGCATCGAATTACAGGCCCATTAGCTCGACACGTATTCCCGGCAAAGTCATGGAGAGGATCATGAGGAGCAAACCGGTTCACAACCTGTCAATGCGGGTTCCGGAAAGGACGATCATGTATGACAAAGTTGCTGAAGTTTCCTGCCCTGATTTCTGGCCTACGAGAGTGTGTACGTGATCCACATGGTCTTAATTGGCTTTAAATATGCCCGCGATGTCATGCTACGCCAGACAGCGTAGCTAGACTGGAATGAAAGGAAATTAGAGACAATTTCCTCAAGTGGATCATAAAATGCCGCATGTAATTCGTAGCCCTGCCGACAAAAACGGACTGCATATCAACCAGCCGAATTCGCCGGCAGAAGAAACTAATTTCTCAGCGGTTTAGATTTTCAACGCCCGGAAGTCCAAAAGTACATCGATATACTGAGAATGAATGCCTTAGAACAGTCCAATCATTGTTTAGAAGTTGCAAAAAGCGCGACACTCGTGTTTCATATCACCTAGGGAGCCTCTATGGATCTTGATGAAGATCCATTCTTCAAGATTTTCAATTAGTTGCAAGGCCGCATCCGGAATACGCAACATGAACCTGGAAAAGCTGAGTGGTACAGGATCGAAGTATGATTCAAAGAATTCAATACTGGATCACCAATATCTTTAAGGGTGAAAACTCTTCGCCTTATGCAACGCGCATAACAAGTCCAAGATTCCTTTATT